GAAGTCGAAGCGCGAAGTGGCGAGGGTTCACTGTATATACATAACACACACGCGCACACACACACACACACGCACACAGCCAACAAGAACAAGAATGCTCAATGCCATCAGGGAAATGCAAATCAAAACTACAATGAGATATCACCCCATGCCTACCACCAACTGCTGTAGAGCTCATGTTGATTCATTACAACCCTATGTAGGGCTTCTGAGGTTGTGCATCTTTCTAAGTGCAGAAGAAACTCTCATCTTTTTTAACAGAGAGTCATTGGTGGGTTTGAACTGGTGACCTGAAGGTTGGCAGTCCAGTGCTTACCTGCCAACACCACCAGGTCTCTCCCTACCCTGCTAGGATGGCTATCTAAAGAAAACAAGTGTTGGCAACCATGTGATGAGACTATATTCATTGCACAGGCCAACAAAAATTTTTTTCTTGGTGTCTTGGTTTTTACGCTTGTTTTGGGATTCTTTGGGGCAATGATTCAGAAAACTGCATTGGATAGATGGCATTGGCTCTAGTTTCTTGGATGGGGTATTGCATTATATATTCAGCTATTCAGTTATGCTAATTTATTCATTTAGCATTTTAATTTAAATAGGAGAAAAACAGACCCACAAATTACAGAAGACAAAAAAGGCAAGAACTATTTTAAAAATAATTAAGTATTAAGGGACTTCCAAGAGAAGCTCTACATGGACCGATGGTGGCTAGGCGGTTACATACTGAGCTGCCAGTCATAAGGACAGTGGTTTGAACCCACCAGTCATTCTGCAGCCTTTAAAAGATTTAAAGGCTTAGAAAACCAAAGGCCAATTCTTTTCTGTCCTATAGGGTCACTGTGAGTTAAAATCAATTGGATGGCAGCAGCTTTTCCTTTTTGGAAACGGAGGCTGTACAAAGACTACAAGTTAAGCCAGGATACAGCTTGAGAAGAGTGGAAAACAACAAAGAAAATGGAAAGGCATATATACCGTGTATATTCGTGTATAAGACGAGTTTTTCAGCACATTTTTAATGCAGTTTTGTGGTAAAATTAGATGCCTGGAGTGATATTCGGGTGGACTCATACTCAAGTATATAGGTATGTAAGGTGTGAGGGTAATTTACAGTCCCAAAGATGTAAGACTTCATAGCAATTTACATAAATATTTTGAAGATCTAAATTTTTCTTCTTCCAATTATAAGTGTAAGATCTGACAAAATAATAATTTATAAATTATCAGGGTTCATGAGGGAGGGGGGAGCGGGGAAGGAAGGGGGGATAATGAGGGCTCAAGTAGAAAGCCAATGCTTTGAGAATGATGATGGCAACAAATGTACAAATGTGCTTGACACAAATTGATGGATGTATGGATTGTGATAAGAGTTGTACGAGCCCCCAATAAAATGATTAAAAAAATATTTCACAATATATATTAAAAAAAGTATAAATACTTCAAAACACATTTTAATAGAAGTCAATGGCTAATTCATGTTAAATGTTTCGGAGGTGAAGTTGATTTCAAGTTGATTTACACAACCAGAAGTTTTTCTAGCTTTCCTTTTAAGAGTTTCTGTTCATAGATGGAGAAGTTGTGCCATCTTTTAACAAGACTGGAACTTTCTCTATCTCAGGCTAGCTACCACCTGATGTTTTTAAGGGCGAGCAGAGTGAAGAGTGGCCTATGGCATATGTTTTCTAGTTTAAACACCGTAGCTGATAGGGACAAACTGGTGCCATTTCTGGAATCAGCAAGTCAACAATATTATCTAGAAAAAAGTCTAATATTTGAGGCAACAAAATGTGTGCTGGCATTTTGCTGGTAGGACTATAAAATGGTAGCTGTGGTAGAAGACAGCCCACCAGCTCCTCATAAAGTTCAGCATAAAAATTATGGCAGGACTTACATAGTCAAAAGGGTCTTGAGAGCAAGGATGCAAATATTATACTTGTATCCCAATGTAGAGACTGTCTAAATATTCATCATAAGGAGGCTTCAAAATGTTCAAGGAAAAATTCTATTATCTTTTAGTTCCATTTTTCAAGGAACCTTTTGAAGTGCCTGTCCTCTCCCCAACCAGTTTGTTTGTATGGATGAGCGCATAAACAAGTGTGGTGTATACATAAAACAAAATACTGGCACAAAGTGCACGGCTGCTAGCAAAAAGGATGGCAGTTGCATGGGAGAAAGATCTGTATACAACCAAGAAAAACCTATTCTGTAACACATGGAATTGTTGTGAATCAAAATCACCTTGCCAGCATCAAAGAAAAGTAACACACACACAAATAAGGAAATACTAACAGCGTGCAATTTCATGGATAAAACTCATAGTGTAAGAGAAAGAAGTCAGATAGCCTACATAACGTATAATTCTATTTATATCAAATATCCAGAATATGCATATTCATTATCGACAACAGAATGGTGGTGACCTGGTGCTAGGGCAGCATGAACAGGGAGCAAACCCAACGGATACCTTCTTGTTGGTGGTAAACATTTGGAATGAGACAGATGTAACTGCACATTGTAAATGTACTGTTGCTAAAATTTTCTCTTTAAAATGGTTAATTTTGTTATGTTAATTTCATCCTAAAAACAAAAAAGGAGAATAACATAGCCCACTGACAGTAATAATTCTGCTAATCTGAACATACGCTGTTGGATTCCTGGTCTTCAGAATATCTTCGGACAGTGTTGAAAGCTAATTTAACCTTGCTTAAGTAAGATCTTTCACAAAATTTCATCAGCATTAATTTTCTTAAAAATGAAGTAACTCTAACCTTTAGTGCTTCAGTGGCCTTTCGAAGTTCCTTAATAACCGATGATAAAGCTTCAGGGTTAATTCCTTGTTCACAAAGCCGCACACAAATAGACAGGGTTTCCATATCTAAGCCAGTATTCAAAATCCTTGAAATCTCAAGCAGAACTGGAAAAAAAAAGGGCATATAAAAAAACTTTAAAAACAATCCCAAATAGCTTGCAACATATTAAATTTGAACCCAGCACTTGTTTTGTTGTTTTAAATGAATGTATTAGTGTGTGTTCAAGAACGAACCAGACCCTTGGCCAGGTGGATTCACACAGTGGCTGCATCCACAGGCGCAGGCACAGGGACGATTGAGAGGACGGTGCAGGACTTGCAGTGGTTTGTTCTGTTGTGCACAGGGTTACTGTGAGTTGAAGCCAACTCCATGGCACCCGACAACAACAAGTAATAAATAGAGTATCCCTACTTTTAAGATTATACCTGACCAGAATTCTGCTTAGTCTCAACCTAATTATTCCCACTAGTGAGTACTCTATTCGATGTCTCATGAATTAGAGGAGGTTTTCCATTCTGTTTAGTGCATATGACTCTGAGGATGGGGTATGGCTTTTTCAAGGGCGCCTAACAATATGCACTTCTCTCTCTCCTGGTCCTGCAAGCTTTAAGCCGTTTGTCCCTGAACAACTCAGTGTTCACTAGGTTCTGTGTTCCCCTTTTGAACTGAGGCCTGACACTCTGCAGGCTGAAAAACGGACGCACCTCATTTGTATCCTATGACGTCGGGATCTTGGTAATTTTCCTGCCCTAGAGCCAACGTATTAACAAGCGTGTTTCATGTTTTCCTCCAGGGTATTGATTGTTGTCTGTAGAACAGTGTATCTGGTCTCTTTACTCCATCTTGGCTGAAGCTGACAGCGCTTCAGTTTTGATATTCCAATTTACTACTAGTTTGTCCGTTAACTATATCCAGCCAGTTATTCATATTAACTACTGAAGACATTGAAAAATTAGTCTTGCCCCAAATTCCCATCTTCTAGTTTCTTAACTAAATTACATTATCATTTCTTGCTTGTTGTTCTTGCCTTTACGTATTTTAGGCTTCATTCTTATTTTAAACATTTGAGATTGCTCTTATTTTCTTTCTTCAAAAATGAGCAAGCAACAACAAAAAATGATTAAAAGTGCAATCTCTATTATCTCTAATGCCAAATGCATGCTAATTTCTTTATGCCTTTATCAATGGATAAAATGTGGATTATATAAGGGTGTATATATATATATATATATATACACACACTATATAGTATAGGTCTGTTTTGAGCATTAGGGGACACACATAAAATGGTGCGTGACACAGGTCAGTGATCAGTAAAAGTGTGAGCTGACACTACATTTCACTTTCATTTTTTAAGTTAGTTTTTTGGGTCTACCAACGTGCTTTATGGTTCTTGGCTGAAAGCACATCTCCCACAGGAGATGTCTCTTGGACGTCCTGGGTGGCTGCTGCGTTCTTAAAGGGCTGGTCTCACTCTGGTCTCAGCCATCTAGGTCCGGCCTTCTGGAAGGAGCTTGGCTCCACACCCAGAACATACATAGATGGCACTTTTCAATCCCTTGATATGGCAGATGGCACATTTTGGGCCACAAGTTTCACTCAGGCAGAGCGGTATGCTTGGTTAGGTTCCATTCTCCATCCCCTGCTGTGGTTTCCATCTGTTCCCTTTATGGGAAAAGCTTGTATCTTTCTAATCAATGAGGACTTCTCATTCTTGCTTTTGAACATAGTTACCACCCTAGAATTATATTTCAGCATTACCTCTTATTTTTTATGTGCCTGGTGCACAGCTTAACTTCAGCTTAAAATTAAGTTTCAGCAAATGCTTACTCCATCATATTGTCAAATTTTTTAGCTGATTGCTTTTATGAGATCCTTCCTTTCACACTTGTATATGCTAAATACTTATTGCTGACATATAGTATAGTAGTTTTTATTTTATAGCCAGTCACCTTAATGAAGCTCTTAATAGATTTTCAAGGGATTCTCTTGTTTTATTACAATACAGTCATTTCATCACATTGAACAATAGTATTAATCTTATCCTTTTCTTACCCTGGCTTATTTGTGAAAAATTTCAAATCAGTGTTTTAATAAAAACAAAAGTACAAGGGTTCGCATTAAGGTGAGCGGCCTCCCAATGTGGAAATCACAAATTTACATTCCTTACTCTTTTTTAACATTTATCTGCGCAACAACATATTCTCAGTGTCCTTAAGAATTTCCATTCTGTTCATAGGTTAAAAAAATTAGGCAGAAATATGCAAATTTTATTTGAAATTCCTTTAACATTAATGTTAAGATACTGGTTTCGAAGAGCTGTCTTTTAGCAAATAAAAAACATTCCATAACTTTTACTAAAACTTTTTTTTTCATCAGGAAAAAACGTCAAGTCTTATCATTACTTATTCATTAACAACTGCAGCGCGATCGAGCAGCTTTTCTCACTCGGTCCGGTAAAGTAAAACAGTACATGGACACACATCCTAATTCTGAACCTGGACGAAAACCTACATCAGTTATTAAGCTTGGCTTTAGTATACTCTCTTGGCTTCTACTTTAAAGAAAAAAGAATTCCTCCTACATTCTGGAATGGTAAATAAAAATATCCAAGTGTCTGTTCCTTGCAGATTTGAGAGAACTCGTTTAAAGTTATCTGTGGATGACAGGTTTTATAGAGTGAATTTTAAGTCACATCTTCAATTTCTTCAGCTTTATGAATTCTCCAAGGTTCTTTCAACACTGTCCATTTTAATTCCATTTTCATTGCTTCAGTATGAGATTGTTTCTGGCTTAATGTAAATGCGTCTTGGGGATTTTGATTATATCCTATCTCTCATGTTAAACATCTATGTCTTGTTTTTTGTGACCATCTTTGATCTGTTTATTTTTCAAACATCAGTTTTAGATTTAGTAAATTTTATCCTTCCAATAGACTTTCTACCTCTCTTCTACCATTATGTATACAATTATCTATCTAAATCTCATTTCTTAAGACTTCCCTGCTTTCCGATATTATCATCATACTCCCTGTCTTATAGCTACATCCTCTATTTTTGTAGACGTTCCTAAACACAGATTTTGACCATCCTCTGGCTATAATTCTAGCTTCCTTACTCTATTTTTCCTATTGCACGTCTTCCCCTTTGAATTCAATAAGCTTATATTTACCCCACAGATTTTCATTGCTTCCTAAGTCCTCCTCCCAGCAGGGCCCATTGTATATCAGAATTACTCTGGTACAGGCTTCCTCTCTCCTACTGTATTCACCTGGCAAATTGTCAAATTTAGAAAAACCCAATGCCATATATAATTTTTCAATTTTGTGGGTGAAAAAAATTTTTACATGATTTTTGCAAATATTAACATTTCCCCCTTCTATTTAAACAAGAGCCTTTTTACGATCTCATTCCATACTTTGTTAAGAAGGGTCCAATTGGGCCTCCACTCAAGTACTCCCTCAACACAAGAATACTTTCTTCTAGTAAATTGGCATTCTAT